AAATTGAGCACAAAAAATCCATTATCTCTAATATCTATATACCTCCTAATAAGAGTCCCATCATTTCTGAAACTGAACAACTACTGGATTTTAACTCATCTGCTTTAATTCGAAGAGATTTCAATGCTAGGCATCAATGTTGGAATCAATGAGCTAGCAATAAAAGAGCACGAGAAATTTTTAGCATGATTCAAAATAAAAATTATACCATTCATGCCACTGATCAACTTACGCATAACGGCTATAACAGCTCTTGTATTGTTGACTTTTTCTATCCAACAACCTCGACTGTAATTGCTAAATTCCAGTTATTCCAGCTCTCTCATCTGATCATAATCCCATCTTTCTTGAAATCAGCATGAATAGTTACTTACCTTTTGCGTCACAGACTGGAAAAAATTCGAAAAAATAATTTCAGATACCATTGCTGGAAATCCCAACATCATCAATGAAGACGATACTGAGTCTGAAATCAAGACGTTTACGACCTATATTCAATACGCTATCAATTTCTCTACCAATAAGTTCATCAGTTCCCATCCTTTTCTTCCTCTTCCAGCCAGCATAAGACAAAAAATCAAATGCTAAAATCGTATTAGGAAAAACTGGCAAAATACTAGAGACTCAAGGCTCAAAACGTACCTAAACACTATTTAAATTGACATCAGAAAGGACATTAGTACCTTCAACACGCAACGCTGGCGAAACTTCCTCAACTCTCTCGCAACTGAAGATAATTCTCTTTTTGACATTGCAAAGAAATTTAAGAAACATTTCAAGCAAATTCCACCACTTCATGGTACCAAAGGAATGATTCAGACGAAGATAAAGCTAACAACTTTGCAGATATACTAGAAGAAACGTTTACTCCCAATATTACCCCTTACAACAATTATATCTCCAAAGTTAATGATACTGTTAATACCTTCTTAAAAATCCCATGTCCTTTGAACTTTACATTCCTCGCCACGCCTAAGCTGGTTGCCGATTATATTAGCTCCTCAAAACCGGAAAAGCTATAGGTGTGGGTGGTATTTCTATCAAAGCGCTCAAACATCTTCTTAGCAATGCTATCACGTGTCTTACTAAGATAAGCAACTCTATCATCAAGTTCTCTTACTTTCCTAATATATGGAAACATACCATCATCGTCGAATGGTATGGTTCACAAAACCGCATCAAAATTACATGTTTACACAAAACTACCGCCCAATTAGCCTTCTCAGTCAACTTTCTAAAATAGCTGAAAATATTATTCTATATCATCTTAATCAAATTATTCCACAGAGCTCCTACATTCCAGAAGAACAGTTTGGCTTCCGTGACCTTCACAGTACTAATCACCAGCTGCTTCGTGTCATCAACTATATTATTTACGGTTTCAAAATTATGAGTTCCTTACTGGAACCATTTTCCTTGACATTGCGAAAGCTTTTGATATGGTATGGCACCGGGGACTTATATACAAACTTATCAATTTCCACTTCCCCTATCATTGTGTTTAACTTATTGCTTCCTATCTCCAAGATAGAATCTTTGCATTGAAAACTGGCAATACTGTTTCTACCACGAGAAACATTTTCGCTGTAGTGCCCCGAGAATCAATACTTTCACCATATTTATATAACATTTACACTTACGATATTCCTAAAAACCCACAAATTACCATTGCTCTTTTCGAAGATGATACTGCAATTATGACCCATGCTTCTACAATTACAGTTGTCCAGCTCCTTCTTCAACATTACCTCAATCATCTAGAAAATTGGCTCACTCTTTGGAGGATTGCAGTTAATACTGAAAAATCAAAAGCAATAATTTTTCGGAAAGGGGAAACAAATTTCACAACACCAAGACCTCTTCTGTTTGGTGAACAAATTGACTAGATTGACGAAGTCATATAGGAGTCATTCTAGATTTAAAAAAATTAACTTTTCAGAAACAGCTCAGGGAAACTGTGAAAAAATTAATATCACGCTTACAACTAAGTTAATGATACTGTTAATACCTTCTTAAAAATCCTATGTCCTTTGAACTTAACATTCCTCGCCACGCCTAAGCTGGTTGCCGATTATATTAGCTCCTCAAAACCGGAAAAGCTATAGGTGTGGGTGGTATTTCTATCAAAGCGCTCAAACATCTTCTTAGCAATGCTATCACGTGTCTTACTAAGATAAGCAACTCTATCATCAAGTTCTCTTACTTTCCTAATATATGGAAACATACCATCATCGTCGAATGGTATGGTTCACAAAACCGCATCAAAATTACATGTTTACACAAAACTACCGCCCAATTAGCCTTCTCAGTCAACTTTCTAAAATAGCTCCCATTTGTTGGCAGAAGAAGTCATATGGCTGCTTCAAATAAACTCCTCTTATAGAAATCTATATTTCTACCAGCATTACTCTGTGCTAGTCCTGCCTGGGGCCACGCTGCCAAAACTCAACTTCAACACACCCAAGTTCTTCAAAATAAATGACTTAGAGAGATTATCAATGCGTCATGGTACATTCGAAATTCGTATATCCACCGTGATATCAAAGTAGACACAATTCAAAATTATATTCAAAAACATAAAAGAAATTTCTTCTATTCAGTTCTCACTCATCCTAACAACTGCGTCAACTCTCTTAGATGTTCTCCATTTCCCAGAGAAAAGCACAAATATCCATCTGACATTCTTCATCGTTAACATTTTTTACTTATACTAGATTCTTCAGTTCACTGATTTGGACCTTCGACCAGAAAGTCACCTTTTTCGTGGACTGATGGCGGCCACCTGACATTTACTTTCGTCTTTTTGTTTTACTGATGTTCTTCACGTGATACAGAGTAAAAGGAGGCACTGCTTTCTGAAACTCAAATTCACTGTATGTTCTTAGTAGAAACTTAAACGGCAGCTATCCAGCTGACGGAAAAATTTATGACGCGTCGATCTCTGTAATGATCGGGACTATGACACCAGACCAACGAGATAAATACTGGAATATGAAGTCGTTGCACCAGACTCGTTCTCTGTCGAGTAGATCGCAAAAAACGACCCGTTTTTCCATCTCGGCGTGGTTGAGACTAGGGCCCTAAGCTCAAAATGTTAATTATTAGGTGAAGTGTACTGCAAATAGTAACAAAATTAATTTAAGACTTAAAAATCTCATGTATTTCTAAGTGATTTAAAATAAACACAAGAGTGTATTGAAAAGCTATATATATTAAAATATTAATATTTAAAAAAGCGATAGCATTTCTATGAATAATTTCTCTACTACAGAAACCCAAATCGCACTAGGATTCGGCTGTTTATGCCCAGAAACTTACAGAGCTTAGATGTGACATAATCTTACATGCAGATTTAATGTCACGTGACCTCTCTGCGCATTTGGAGATTTAGAGCCGACCTACTTTGGCTGCCTGTCACTTTCAGTAAATCTATAGATATTATAAAAATAAGTAAATAAATACGTGTATTTTTGAATAGTGCTTGGTACTTCAAAACATACGAAATTAGAAATGAAATAATATGTGGTGAGCTATCAAAGCACACTACATTCAGAAGAACGTCATAAGCAATCAGCCAACGACCCGAATGCCAAGGAGGTTAGAATAAAAGGAGGGAGGGTTCGCAGTTTCCTCCACTATCGGGGAATGAAACTCCGCCGAACAAGCGGCGTCCATGTTTGTGACTTCAAAACATTGCATTACGGCAGTGACATGTACGTGTTTCTAAGCTGTTCCGTGCATTTATTTTCCAGTAAAATTATGTTAAATTTATAATGAAATCCCCCCGCTATTGTTGAATTTTTGTTTTGAAGTAATAAAGATGATACCCATAATTTACTATGTACAGCAAATTGTTAAGAAATAGTTCGAAATCTAAATGCATGCGCATAACATTAAGGCCTTTAAAAAATGATGTTTCTGCATATTTCACGGGATTCGCTTAGGTTAGAAAATAAATCTTAATAAAATAAAACAGAAATTCATTGATTTCATATTTATTAATCTCAAAGAAACTGCCTTTAATTAAGTTGAATTACAGAAATACACCTATATAAGTTTTTGGATACATCTTTCCACATGTTCAATTGCGTAAATATTTTACTTAATTTTATCACTATACTGCTCAGAAATTTGTAAGTTTATACAAAAAATTTTTAACAACAGAACAGTTTTATCTTAACTTTAAAAAATGAATAATAATTAATATATAACAAAAAACATTGCTTTATTTAACACCTTTACAATTAATAAAAATAGTAACAATTGATTTCTTACTTTTCATGAAAGTTATAAAACGAATTAACTAAAAACGTTCAAATTATACAATTTAAATCCTACCATATAGCATTGTATCTAAGGAAGTAACGAAGATACCAGCTATAAACAGAAACATTAAAATGTATTTAATATATTTTGATTATAGTTATATTACGTAACCTATTAAATGACCTATATTTAAGTCCCTTTTTTTTCACATCTGGAAAGAAAACCAACATGACATTGTGATATTTTTTGACATAGTTGTCATATTACATAAAAAAATGAAAATTAATACTTACGTGTGAAAAATAATGCCCGGAATTTTTTTCGAGAATCTATTTATGCATCCATATGCAATACAAGCAGACATGCTTCAAAAAGAAAAGAAAAAAATGTTGCAATGACAGACTTCCTTGCACAAGTCACGGTGATAACAGGAAGATGGCCGCCAAGCTTCACCGTTTGAGTTGAACCTTCCCTCCTTCTATTCTAACCTCCTTGCCGAATGCTTGAGTTCATTGCGTCTGAATGTGACTGCGGTTGGTAAGGCAACTGCGGGTAAGCAGTGGTTCAGTGCATAATCACATAGACATGAATGCTTTTGAGTAACGTTTCACTTTGATGGTCGCATGTTTTTCTTTCTCACTTTTTAAAGCTGATCAATTTATGCTGGATATGACGATTGGCAGATTCTCCTATGTTTTATTACTTTATCTGTAACCAGCCTGCTGACTAGCCTCACTAGCCTTTAGTCAAATAGTTTGCTTTAAGCGCAATAACTTTTACTTCTACTTTCTCTTTCAATAAGGCGTGCAGCGTGTTAAGGTCTAATTCCGCAGTCTCGGATTAATTTTATTTAAAATTCATCATGATTATCTTTAAAGATCTCATTACTGGTAATTTTCACTTATTTAATAGAAAGATGTTTCATGTAGATACAGTAAATTGTGTATTTTTTAAAACTTTATTTTATTTTAGGTGATGAAATGTTCACAGATTCATCGAAATATAAGGTTGTGGACGATTGCTTGTATGAAGTAGAATGTAGAGTAAGTGAAGCTGATTAATGTCCTTAAATTCATTGTGCTTCAAAAATAGTAAGATGTCTGACATGACGTACGTGGCATATTGACTTGATTATGGGACCCATGAAAGTAGGGCTAAAACACATGGTAATGCTACAAAGGCTATAAGAGGCTCGTTTTGGACCTTTTAAAATCATAACATTACGTTTTTCTTAAATTGTGATATCCGAGTGCGGTTTAATTATAAAATTATTAATGAGGTTTTTCATTACGTAAGAGTCAGTTGTATATGAAGACCGATTTTGTTCACCTAATTTTAAGTTCAAAGAATTAAGAAACCGTTCGAAAAGCTAAAGAATTTGATCACACTGTCTGAATTTTATAATATTTGATATTCCTCAGCAGAATAAAGTATACACAGTAAAGGTATATTAAATTTTTGTTTAATCGTCTCTTGCGTAGCTTAGTCAAAGCTATCAACTGATTAAACACAATATAATATCTGTAACACCTTTCAGATGGAAAATAAAATACTGTGAATATTATCGCATATGTTCTATACTGTAATGAGTGATTATCTATTAGTGAAGTACATGGTAGTATTTTTCCCCCTTATTCTGTTAAAGAGTTTGAATATGAGGTGAACATTTTTTAATATTTAATTGCTGGTGTTTAAAGAAGCATTCATCAGTCTTATAAGACAGAATATGTGCGTTTCTGAAGATCATATACACCATAATGGAAACTTTGTAGAATAAGTTTTTTCTGTAATGTCTAAATTTGAGAGAACAGTGTATTTAATGTTTGTATCTTCTGAAATGCACAATTGTAGGGAATGAGAATACAGTCAAAAGTCTTTAATCCGGACTCGTCGGGACTTCGACGATTCCGAATTATCGATTTTTCCGGATTATAGATCATAAGTTTAAATCTGGTAAGATGGCATGCAGAAATTATAAAATTAAAAATATGAAAGCGTAATTTATAAAATAATGAGGCAATTATGATCTAAAGGGTATCAAAATTTACAAAAAAAGAAGCTTAATATTTATTTGTTTACTTTATTAAACATTTCTTTAAACGCGCGTATGCGTAAAGCATACCCTGCGCATAGCCGGAATTACAAAATTGCAACCAGAAAACTATTTGATTTGTATTCGTGATATTTATAATGACCAGAAATTTGATTTAAATCATATCAAAGACGGGATCAAATACTACATTTAATAAGTACATCGAGATTAAATCGAGAGTACATCGAGATTAAATACTACATTTAATAAGGAATTATAAGCCGAATAAAATAAAAACATCTGCCCTAAAGATAACGATAGTGCTGACAGATCAACTTCCAGTTCATAGCGCGCCGCGACGTCTTCCCCCCCCCCACGCAGAGCAGCGTGAAATTGATAAACAGATGTCGGAACGGTTAGATAAGCAAAGGATATGCCTTTATCCATTTTTTATAGCAATTCGTTTTTTGTTTGATGGACATCGAAGCATACTTTCGTTTTTTAGATCCTTTGGGAGCTCCAGCATCGGAAATTCTATTTGACATAATCGAAAGTTCAAGCTTACTTTTATAAAATTGCTCTTACAGTCTGCAAAAAATAATAAGCCGGATCCAATTCAAAGATTAAGGAACAACGCAATCATCAACATTAACTGAAATAGATAATTATATAATTTTAGCTTATACCGTCCGTTTTACATTAAACGCGCAGGCGAAAACGTATTCTGTGCTTGCGCAGACACATATGCACAGTCGTAAATGTCTTGCGTGCACGCGTAAAACGCCTATGCGCATGCGTCAACGCGGCGCATGCGCAGAAAGATTTTAGCTTTGAGGTCCGGATTATGGGTGTCCGAATTAACGACTTTTGACTGTATACAGCAATTTCTTTATAACCATTGCACCATGAGTGGCTAGGACCACTGAATGCTGTTAATTCAAACTCTGCCTGACTGCAAACCACATAAACTTTGTGTATTTGAATTATCTAATTTTTACATGGAAGTTAGTTGAAGGAGAAAAAGGGTTTTCATCCGCAGAGAACCGGTTGGCGCTTTGGGAAAGAACCCATTGGCGCCGTTGCATTTTTACTCGCCAAGCTGATGAGCCGAGCCGTAAACATGGTTTTTAGTGTATGTAAATTCAAGTTAGCAGACAATGGTAGTAAAAATTCACAGATAATAAGTATGTAGATGTAAAATTAACAGGTTAAACGTGATATACGAAAATAAATTTGTATTAAATTCAAGTTAGCACAGAAAACAATGTATTAAACATAACGGGAAGTAAAAATTCATTTAAAAAATAAATATTAGTATTCTTATATGTATTTTCTCTAATTCATATAGAATACTAATATTTATATTACAATTGTCTTTTTTCATTATTAAGTACTTTGCCTGTTGATTGATGTATTTCGGTAAGAGCCCATGTAATAAATTAATGAATGCATGACCTTTAATGCATCCATTTTACATACTTTTCAGTATTTTTTTTTTTTTTTTCAAGTTACTTGCATACAGCTTAAGGCATTTTATGTTGAAACAAATACCTGTCCTTTTTCATAATATATTTCACAATACAAATAACCTTCAACAGTAATCAAATTTTCTTCATTAGCATTGTTGATAAAACTAGAACTTTATACATTTTAAAATTATTATAGGGCTTGGAAAACTCGTGGTTCTGCGTGCTTACAGCTGTTAATAATTAAGAACATAACATGAACAGTACGTTACAAATTAGCATTCATCCCTCCAGGCATATTTTCTTCCTTTGATCCCGAACTGACGAGCCGAGAACCGTTCGACGAAAACTTCTTTAATTATGCAAAAATATTTCTATCTATTCGTTGTTAAAAAATTCAGAAAAAATAATAATAAGAGAAGAATAATATAAATCTCCAAATGCGAACTACGACAACCTTCGCACAAGCGAATATGATGTATTAGCTAGGTTACCAGGTTTGCACTATTATCGCCAAAGTTGGTGATGTTTACATTTACCGGGTTCTCTGCAGAAGTGCTTCCAAAAAAAATTAGATTCAGCTATGTAACAAGTGCGTAGAACTACATCTAACAACTATGTGAATCTTACCGTGTTCATAGAAGAACGAAAAGTCATTAGGAAACAGCAAGGAAAGGTGTATGTTTTGAATTATGCTGTACGGAAATCTAAAAAAATAGAGAATTTCATGCTGAGCTGAGGCAGGTAGCACTTGAGTCACTTTTTCTTAACCAGTTAACCTAAACTAACCTACATGTTGAGCCAAGTAGGCTAATGAAATTAAAAGCTGAAAAATGTTCTTGAAGCCTTATGGTTCATTGGTAAACTGGATCATTAGTTGCAGCCTCTTAAGATTGCCGTCTCGTCCTATGTATAGTAACATAGTCAGTACATTTGCCTTTTTGTAGCAGGTATGAAATTCATATCATTCAATCTAGGTAATTTTCCCCTGAGAAATAATAACAATTCTGGGCAAGTACAAGGGTAAGCAGTTCTGAAGAACAGTATCTTATGGTGCGAGAGCAATGAAAGTCCATTAAACGTGGATTTCATTTCTCGTTGTTGGATAGCTACTCATAGTTTGGAGCAGAAACTGTGCCTTCCGACTGGAACTCTTAATTTGTTGAGAGGAGGAGGAAGCAATGCTACAGGAGAGGTGTTGATTAAAAGTTAAACATGCAAGTTAAAAAAAAAGAGAAGTCTTTTCAGAGCCATACTGATGAATGGTATAAAGTTAGTGTATAATTAATTACAGGCATGTTCAAACAGGTTGTGTATCATAATGAACTTTTCATTTAAACTGGTTGCCGATTGATTAGCTAAAAATTTGGAACTATTTTGTTGCCAAAAATTTCTTGGATGAGTTTGATTACAGCGAAATGGTATTCAAGCCAATGGGGTTATGTCTTCTAGTCAAAGTAAGATGTTGGATGGGCTCTTAAGGGTGAAATCAATATTGTTTTCCAGGGAATGGTTACAGCAGAGAAAGGCTGATTGCATTTATGTAATGTTTCTGGGTAAATAATGAAAGCCAAAAATGTTTCACGCTTAGTATCATTTCAACTTTGAATAAATCTCTATTATTTTCTATGTCAGAGATGTAATACCAGGCATGTAATGATAGCATCAGATTCATGTGGGTTCTGAAAACATTCTCATAGCTGGTGAAAACATCCTGAAATAGTGGCAGGTTTAGGTTAGAACAGGGATCTTCAAATTGTTCAGCCCATGAGCCATATTGGGTCTTTTACGAAGCTTTGAGGGCTAAGATTGAGTTAATTCATCATACCATGGCAATGCAAATGAATAAACTTATTTTTCTTAAAGGTTATTTTTTATCGACGGACCAGCTTCACTCTGTTTTAATTTTTTATTAGAAAAATCTATACGAATATACGTGAAGCAAAATACATTAATTGGAGTTCGGTTACAAGTAATACCACGTCAACCGGTTAGATTTCTTCAAGCCTCAATTTTGCCTCAATTGAAACATTTGCCACGTCTACTTGTAAAACGTTTAAGTGTTGCAATTAAAGCATCGGAAGTCAAATCTGTTAATGTCTCAAGATGGATGGCTTTTGTTGCGAAAACATATAAAAATACAAATATACAATTTATTCAGAATACCTTTACGTTGATTTTTAAATTTCACTAAATAAGGGCCACATAAATCAATACCTGTAATAGAAAATGGAGCTGAAACATTAACTCTTTCACTAGGCAAATTACCCATAATTTGTGAAGAAGTGGCTTACATTAGAAAGAGTGGGCTTACATTTAAAGCACGTTACACATTGATGTACTGTTTTGCGTGCGAGACTACGGCCACCTAAAGGCCAAAATTTCAAGCGCACTGCATTTAGCAGACCTTGTGGTCCAACATGAAATAATTTCCTGTGTAAACTTTCAAAATAAATTTTACTTAATCTTGAACCCTTAGGTAAAATAGGAGGATGTCTTTGAGAATATGGCACTGAAGCATTCTTCAGCCTTCCTCCTA